ATTATTATTATTATTATTATTATTATTATTATTATTATTATTATTATTATTATTATTATTATTATTATTATTATTATTATTATTATTATTATTATTATTATTATTATTATTATTATTATTATTATTATTATTATTATTAATTATTATTAATGCAATATACGCGCAAAACGCATACACTTAACTCATATTGTCCAAATGTCAAATTGGTTAATTTAGCATTTAATAACATAGGCATATGACCATGTTTGGATGAGATTGACCAACTTTTTATTTATTTCATATTTGATCCAAATAGCTTTTTTGACCTTATAAATTAGCTGCTACTACTATTATTATTATTATTAATTAATGCAATACACGTGCAAAACACATACACTTAACTAATATTGTCCAAATGTTAGCATTCAATAACATAGCCACACGACCATGTTTCGGATGAGGTTGACCTACTTTTATTTATTTCACATTTGACCCAAATAGCTTTTTTGAACTTATAAATTAAGCTACTATATTATTATTATTATTATTAATTAATTAATTAATACAATACACATGCAAAACACATACACTTAACTAATATTGTCCAAATGTCAACATTTAATAACACAGTCACACGACCATGTTTGGATGAGGTTGACCAACTTTTTATTTATTCCATATTGACCCAAAATAGCTTTTTTGACCTTATAAATTAGCTACTTTGGAGCCTTCTCTTTCAGTCATTGTTTTGTTCATACACTTACACAACACTCTAAGCTACTGTTCCGTATAAGTCAGAGAAGAGACTCTTTTTAAAGATGGGTAGAAAAATTGAGATAAAGAAAATAGAAGAGATGACGAAACGTCAAGTTACATTTTCTAAGCGACGCAGTAGTTTACTTAAAAAAGCTGAGGAGATTGCGATTTGCTGTGACGTGGACGTGTTGTTTGTCGCATTCTCACCTTCTGGTCGGCTCAATAAATTCTGTAGCCAACAAAGGTATTGTATTTATGATTCCGACAAAAAAAATATGAATTTTTCGTTATGTTGTGCTAGTTATTAATCTATAAAACTATTATCTTGATTAACTTTTTTTTATACTAAATTTACACTTTTGTAGAGTTGAAGACATGCTTCAGCTTTACCTTAACCTTCCGGTTGAGCGGAGATTGACGTACATGAACATTTCCTAAATTTTCTTGATTTTTTTTTAGCTATTAGTAACCTAAATAATGTAGCACTAACTTATGAGTTTTTTTTTTCTTTTGTTGGGGTTAGTCACATGGCCGATGTTAAGGTACTTTTTACTCTTTTATGTATATATTATCAATAAGTATTTGTAGGACTTTTATATTTTCTAAAATTATGTCTTGTTTCTATTAATGTGGATTAATTCGTCTAATCTTTATATGATGATGAAATTTGCTAAAGTTTGAAACGAAAATTAGTATTCGTTATTATCCATTTCAATTTGTTTTTTTTTTCTTTTCCGTTTAAAAAGATGTGTCAAGTTAGGTCTTGAGTGTAACCCGCACCTCAGAAAGAGGAAGATTGTTCAAACTTTATAAGGAGCCCAAAATTTTATTTATTCACCGATGTGGGACACTTCATTCCTTCATCACCCCTTTACACCATATCCGAACATTCTTTATCCAGATCCGAACATTCTTTATCCAGGATTTCACTATATCACCCCCTCACACCCAGACCTAGACATTTTTATCTGAGATTCCATGGTATCACCCCCTCAAGCCAAAATTTCACTGTCCGATCCGGAGTGTGACATTCATGGACGGGGGGGTATTTCCACCCCCGCAACTATTCCATTTCCTGAGGCCTACATCAAGTCTGACTCTTATACCATGTTTAGTTAAGTTTTAGGCATAACTAATTACACCCCAAAAGCTAGTTCATAGGAGGAGGATTGTCTAACATTTTTTAACGAGACCAGAATTTTAGTTATTCACCGATGTGGGACATTTAACGATCTTTCATCAGAACTTTTTTTCTTTTTCGATATTTTTTTTAATCTCAACTTTCCCCACACACATGTTTATAACCACAAAATTAAAGGATATTTTGACACATTCGACCTCTCTTTAGTTTAAGATCGTAAGATACAAAAGTGTTATTAATTTATTAAATTGTATCAAGATGAAATCAGACAAACAAATTAAAATTGAATGTGTATTAATTAAAAGGTTCTGAAAATGACATCCTCAAAATTAACGAAATACTAAGTGATTTTTAACTTGTTTTAATTCATTCAACAAAACAAGTTTGACTTAAGTAAAAAAGTGTATAATTGAGAGAGTTGTAATAAATTTTTTTAATTATTGATATCGATTTGACCCATTTTAAACTAGTTTTGATAATTTTTTTTGGGTATATTAATGAAGGAGAAGGTGGCAAAATTGAGACAATTGAATCACATCAAAGGAGATGTTAGCAAGCTACACCTTCTTGATAAACAGTTTGGATCTCCTCTCTTTCTCACTTTTTCCTTTGCTTACTTTATTGTCTCTCTTTAGTTATATTGTGTTTCGATATTATTTACAACAAATGTAAATTAAAAAAAAAAATGTGTATAAGAAGATTAACGAACGACCAAATGGAATGAAAAGAGAATTAGGAGCTTTATTTTAAAAGAATATTTTGAAAATTAGAAAAAATATTACGGATAAATGAATAAAATCTTCAATTAAATTAAATGTGCTAATAGAATGAAAATCTATAAATTGATAGGGGTGACAATTTAATACAGAATATGCAGATAAGTTGATTTGACTAACTTATAAACTTGAATTATCATATTATTGTTGTTACTAATATTAATACTCTCCATATCGGACCAAAGAGATAAAAAATTCGGCCAAAGCATGATTAAAAAAAATTATTTTGACCAGGGAAAAATATAGACAAGCATATGTGTAAGTTGACACAATCACCACCACCAACAACAAGCTCGATATAATCTCATTAGTAGGGTCTAAAGAGAGTAAGATATACACAACCTTATTTCTATCTTTATGGGATGGAGAAGTTGTTTCTGATTGACCATCAGACATCAACAACCTTGCTGCATTATTCAGACTTGAGACTGATAATATGAGCGAGCTCAAATATGTCGAGTTACATAAGCGTTACAATATTTTGATTTATTGAAAATGTTAGATACTACCTAGTACCTCATACTTGATTTCTTTTGTATTAAGTGAAATTCATGACTCTCTCACTAATGAATTAAACTTTATCATGATGGCTGCCTTTGGATGTTTCAACCTGTTGCCGGTGTCTTAATTTCTACAGGATTGAGGTGAGCACAACTTAATTTTATGTCTCTATTATGAGTTGTTTTTTCTCTTTTCAATCTACCCTTGCTATTCTAATTAGTAGTGTGTTAATTAAGTGTGACTTGAAGTAGAAATTAAGACTAGTCCAAATAAATGTTAATAAATCATTCTAGAACCAATGAAGATTAAGGTTGAGAAAGTCATTTTAACTTGAAATTTTTTGATGTAGAATTTGGAGCTACAAATCAAGAAGAGCACATTGGAATTACAGATTGTGGATGCTAACATAAGGTCATTTGATTTAGTATCACAAGTGTTTTTCTTATAGTTCTTCTTAATTATAATCTCATGGTTTAATACATTGATATCACCTTGATCTTTCACTTAGGCATTTATATTATAGAGTATTTTAATTGTCTAAATGTAATATTCTGCCTAACAAGATGATTATGCAGGGATTACGAACCAGGAGCAGAACAAGAGCCTTCTCTTCACCAACTCTGTTGGTGTGAGAGTAACTTGAAACTCTCTCTCCAAAAAATCTTGGCTAGAAAAGTTTGTTCTTCCATCTTTATTTGTCATTGAAGAATAACGCGAAATTACAATTTTCAAGAAAATACTTATTTTTCTTAGAAATAATGTAAATTCCCAACTAATGTCAAATGAATTTTGATTAGATGGAATTGGAGAAACAAGGAAATATGGATATTCACTCTGTTGCACAACAAATGGCTCCTCACCAGTTTGATACTAATAATTGGATTAGTCCATTCAGGTCATTAATTTTTTTCACATAATTGAAAATTTTCGTCTCCTTTCTCCTTTTGGTTTCATTATTTCGTTATTATTGCAGTTCAACTGTTCAAAATCAAGATTGGATGGACAAAGGAAAGAGAGTAGCAAACAGTTCTAGCAATTACACATATACCCCTTCCTTTGCTAGTACTTCACAGTTAGGAAATATGTCATTTCCTCAAAACTCATCGCCTTTTACCCCATTGCAGGTAACACTTTTTAGGATCTCCTAAAAATTGAGATATTTTCTTTTTAAAAAGTTGATAATATTTATTTTATTTGTACAATAGTGCCAGCAACAAAACATGATTGTCGATGTTCAGCAGAATCCATTACAAATATTTGGACAATCACAAGTATATTAATATTTTTGAAATATTATTTCTTATTAAGATCTCCTTGAAGATATGAGATTTTTTTTATTTTTTTTTGATATATTATTTTATCTGCGAAATAGAGCCAACAACAAAACATGGCGGTAGATGTCCAGCAGAATCCAACACAAATATTGGGACAAGCACAGGTACATGATATTCCTGAAATATTATTCCTTGTTAAGATCTCCTTAAAGAGATGAGATTTTTGCAACAAAACATGGAAGTAGATGTCCAGCAGAATCCAACACAAATATTGGGACAAGCACAGGTACATGATATTCCTAAAATATTATTCCTTGTTAAGATCTCCTTAAAGAGATGAGATTTTTTTTTAAAATTTTGATATTATTATTTTTATCTGCAAAATAGAGCCAACAACAAAATATGATGGTATATGTCCAACAGAATTCAACGCAATCATTTGGACAATCACAAGTACATTAATATTCTTGAAATATTATTTATTGTTAAGATCTTCTTAAAGAGGCGGAATATTTTTTTAAAATTTTGATATAACTTAAGAAGATAAATATTTTTTTGAATGTTGATATAATTATTTTTATCCGCGTAATAGAGCCAACAACAAAACATGATAGTGGATGTCCATCAGAATCCAACACAAGCATTTGGACAATTACAGGTAAGTTAATATTTTTGAAATATAATTCTTTGTTAAGATCTCCTTAAAGAGATGAGATTTTTTTTTAAAATTTTGATATTATTATTTTTATCTGCAAAATAGAGCCAACAACAAAATATGATGGTATATGTCCAACAGAATTCAACGCAATCATTTGGACAATCACAAGTACATTAATATTCTTGAAATATTATTTATTGTTAAGATCTTCTTAAAGAGGCGGAATATTTTTTTAAAATTTTGATATAATTATTCTTATCTGCACAATAGAACCAACAACAAAACATGGTAGTAGATGTCCAGCAGAATTCAACACAAACATTTGGACAGTCACAGATACATTAATATTCTTGAGATATTATTCCTAAAAAATCCTATCCCCTCCCTCCCCACCCTTGTACTAAACTAGTTAACTCATATTTTGCAGGCACAATTGACTTTTGGTGAAAGTAGTGACAACTCTCTCACGAATTTCTGGCACAATATTTGCACTTCCACAAGGTTTCTTTCGATATTCATACATTTAATTATTGTTCGCAAGATAATATTTTATCTGCTTAAAAAATATGATGACATTAGAATTATAACGATCAATGCATCTAAACTCTATACGAGATCAAATTATTATCATATAAGAGACCACATAAATAGTAATAATATCATATACAATAAGTCAACGAAATACATTTTATTATTTTTGTTGGTATTGTTGTTCTTTAACATTGTTTCTCTCAGGCATGGCTCGAGTCCACTCGCAAATACGGGTACACAATTGAACACTCCCTCCCAATTAGGGTTGGAGTATGCCCATTCAAATTGGAATATCAACTTGAACAATAACAACGACATCAATCATATTATTCAACAAACTGATCAATCTTCAATTCAAAGTAATGCAATAGCTTCTAATGTTAATGGATTTAACTATCCCATAGAAGTTAGTTCAAAGCTCTATTATTAATATTATTATTGATTAATTAACTTTATTTGTTTGTTTATAAATTTATATTTGTGATATTATTCACACAAAACTCACTTTAAATATTTTGTCACAATGATCAGGAGAATACCATGGGAAACAATGAATACTTTGCTGAAACAACACATGAGAATGATGCATGGGAATGGGATGATGTTTTCCTCAATGAAGGTTTCAATGGAGATGACTTTTAAATTTAGATTGATCAATGAATGACAAACAAACTTTTTTTTTAATCTAGTTTCTTTATCTTTGGTCCATTTTAAAGACCACAGACTTGATGTTTTAGCTTTTTATTTACTTATTTCTGTATGCAAGATATCATCTTTATGTATGTAGGGTGACCTATATATATTAAAGTGAATAACAATAAGTACCTATGAGTGTTAGAAATAAATTGTGTTACCAACATCATTTGTCTTAATATACTTTTTATTATTATAAGTTGTCCATTTAGATTATATGAAGATGGTGCAAGAAGCTTGGAAACAAGTGGAGGGATCACCTCTATGAATTTTTCCTTTGATTTGGAAGAATACTTGTTGAAAGATATCTGGTACAATTCAGTTTTAAACTTGTTTAAAATGCTTCAGCTTTAATGAACAAAGACATCACCTAATAAATAGGTTTTTCAAAACCTAATAAATAGATTTCACCTTATATGAATTTTGACATTGAAATAAATAACTAATTCAACTTCAAAATAGGTTTCAGCTTTAATACTTTGGCTTCTTGCTCAACAATTTTGAAAAATGCGACTTATCTTTATGTCATTTACAAGTTTGGACTTGCAAATTCATTCACAATTAACATACATGAGTTTGTCTTGAAATTGCATACATAAGACACATTTGGGCCTAATAAATCTTGAGGAATCTAAATTTCTCTTTGCAAAGA